CCCCAAAACCCCAAAACCCCAAAACCCCAAAACCCCAAAACCCCTGTCCCTTCCCTCTTTTTGAAAACTTGCTCACTATTCCCAAAGCACACTTTGTGTTCAAGGTTTATGAAATTTACAAAGAATTAATAGTGCTTGTTGTAATGGCTTTCGTCAATGGAGATCTTCTCCATTGCCTTATCTACATGTGGGATGATAGCTTTAAACTTATCCCAGATATCCTTGGTGATGCTTAATCCTTTCTTTGTGGGTAAGCATTGGTTCTCTTTGTAGAAATACTCACGTAAATCAATGAGTACACTGCCACAGAAGTTCTTAACCTCTACTTTCTTTTTCCCATTAAGCTATAGAATTGGTTTACTTTGGAAGTACTTACGTCAAACATGATCTGGTTGTTTCGTTCCTCGACTTTGATACCCAAATGATCTAAATCTGGAAGCTCATCATCTTCAGTAAAGGTTTTGTGCACTGGCTTGAACTGACGATCTGTCTGTTTCTCTTTCTCTTTCTTATCCCGTTTATTTTAATGGACTTTCAGTATTAGTCTTCTTAAGTTTTCTTCTTTCCCTCTGTTCCTTATCGATCAAATACTGAGGTCTTGGAGATTTTTGACCAGTGGATTTCTTCTTAGACCGATGTTTTTCATACCTCTGTTCGCGTGCAATATCATCAGAGTCGTGAGACTCTTGAGAAATATTAAGATTCTGCTGGGAACTTTTGGTATTTTTAGTGAGTTCCAGACCATCATTCTCTTCTTTTTCAGACTCTTCGTCACTATCAACATTCGTATTGGCATCTTTCTGCTTATCGAGTAATAATTTGAGCAAATTGGCATCATTATTACTAAGTGCAGATTTATCGTCAGTGCTCATTTTAATTCAGATAAATTTATAATAGGAGAATCTTATATAGTCAAATGCAAATTCACACATGATATGTGAAGACTTAACTAAAGATTACACAGGGAGCCACTAAAGATTGGGGTTTTGGGGTTTTGGGGTTTTGGGGTTTTGGGGTTTTGGGGTTTTGGGGTTTTGGGG